GGAATGTTCCTGGGGTCTATTTTGGGAGGCTGATTTTTCTGGCAAAGGTGTTTGGCAATAAATAAGCACTGTGTCCTGCCAATAAATCATGATTGTACTGAATTGAGTTGTCTAGTTGTTAAAGCCACAGATACACATCCGCCTGGTGCTCTGATATTAGAATGATACAGCCAGGATGCCTGGGTTCTATCCCCAGTTCTAGGAAGGAGTTGATTCTAGTGAGTGACAACAGAGAGCTGCCAGTCAGAACTCCTGGGTTCTATTCCTAATTTTAGAAAGAAGCCATGACTAGTGATTAAAGTATGGAGGGGAGTGCATTTTTCTTGCAGCTGTTTCAGTGCGACCCAAAGGAGAGACCCAAGCTTATACTGCACCGAGGCCCTTGTCTATGCCTTGCAGCTGATCCTGCTGCGCAGGCTCCTGCCACACAACCTCTTTGTTCCCTTCCAGTTCTGATCTGCCTCCCTTCCCCCATCCAGCTGCTCCAGCCTCATTGGAGGGTAATTAATACTTGACAGAACATTAGTGGCACCTCCGCTTGGCTGTTGGCCCAAGAGAAAAGGTCAGGCAGCCACATCCCAGCAAAGACTTCCGAGCGGCTGCCCTTGTTTGCACCGCCAGCTAATTTGTTTACCCACTAAGCGGGGTTGATAGGCATGCAGTAAAGGAAAAATCAAGACCCAGACCCCAGTGACAGAATAGAGTAGCCCAGCCAAGCTACACTCAGGCCCAGCTTGCACTTTTCAAACCTGCAGCCTTCCTAGAGCCATGAAAAGCACCCAGGAGCCCTGGCTGCCAGATCCCTCTGCTTGTTCTAACCACTAGACTCCATTCCCTGTTAGAGCTGGAAACAGAACCTAGTTCTGTTGCCCATGTATAGCCAGTCCTGTACTTCTAACACCCTAGGTTGGATGGAGGAGGCATAGCTCCAGTCCCATAGAGACAAGCTAGCGGTATTTGTTGGAGAGGTTTCCAGAGCTGGGGGAGGGAGTGGGTGCTTGGTGGGCCAGAGTAGGGGTATAAATAGGTGTGTGCAGCTGGAAATAGCCCCAGGAAGGTTGGGCCAGGTGAGGAGTATGACGCTGTGCTGCATGGAGACAACTCAACAACTTGCACCTCAGGACAACAAGGCTGCGCAGCTGCTGCTCCTGGGTGCCCTATGCTGTGCCCCCAGGGCTGGCAGGGCTCAAGGTGGTAGCACCGACTACCCTCTCTTCTGTGAGGAAAAGAAAGCATTGTCTTCCTATCCCTACGTGTGCACATCTGTCCTTCCAGGCCTTTCTAAAGTGCCATAATACAGATGTATGCATTGCAATAAAGCAGGAGAAAGTTCAGAAGAACTGTCTAACCATAACGGTAGTTCAGCACTGCAACAGGTGACCGAGAGAGGTGGAAGAGTCTTGTCCTGAGAAGGTTTAAGAGCATGTTTGTCAAAATGTGGCTGGGAGGGTTTAGGCAAGGATGATCCTGCCTTGAGTGGAGGCTTGAACTAGACACAACCCCCAGAGGGCACTATCAGCCTGATTTTTCTCTAACTCTATAGCAGTGTCCCATTTATATAGCAGGACCTCTTTGCCTAAAGCAGGTATTAACGGGTTTGATACTCACAAACTAAAACTTCCCACTTCCAAATTCTGCAGCACCGACCCCCAGCACCACACTGAGGTCAAGCCCAAGCCCCCCGACTCCTGCAGCTCAGTATCCCTCATACTGCCCTAGAATGTGGGAACCAGCACTGATTCAGAGGGCAAAGCACTTCCTGCTCAATCCTCCACCCCTTCGGCCTGCCCAGGAGTGCTGGCATCAGCACTCGCTGCCAGGGTAGAATGGCTTTTGCTGACCCCCCTCTTCTGCATCCCAAACCCCAAGTAAAGTATTTTTATGCCAATTGGATAATCCGGGGGCCCTGACCTCAGCACGAGCAGCTTGGCTTGATCCCAGCAACCCCCCCTCTCCACTGCAGAGATGCATGTCACATTCCTCTGCCATGGACAGGTGGAAGCTTCTGGGCCTGGGCTGGGGATTAGCAGCTAACAAGCTGTTTCATAACAGGGTCAGAGATCAGGCTGGGGGAGGAGCTGTGCACGGACTTGCGGGAGGGCCCTGATCACAGCCAGGCTGGAGGCTCAACAAGGGTATCGGAGAGGATCCTGGGACCTGGCCAATCAGTCCCTGCACCTGAGCTGTACTAACCCCTCTCGACCTTCTCTTCTGCAGCTGCTGCAGGCTCTCCTTCATCTCCAATCAGTCCACACTAAATATAACCTTAGCCAATGCTATGCACTCCCTCAATCCCCATCCATGGCACACGCTTCTTACCCTGGAACTGACAGCACAGACCTCTGATCTCAGGAGCCTCTGGTCTCATCCATGGCACAGCCCTCCCTATCCCTGGGAACTGTGGCACAGAGCCTACCGGGACCTGCAACAGGGCCCCCCTGTGAGACCAAGCTCCATTCACAGCCTCTTCATTTCCCAGGTTCAACAGCACAGGCTCCTCAGTCCTCCAGGACCCACAGCATGGCAACCTCACACCTGGTGGGACTGACTGTAGGCTTTTCTCCCCTTGGGACCAGAGCATATACATAGGCCCTCCCCCTACCTACAGTCCAGCATCTCTAGCTCTGCGTGACCCTGCCATTGCTAGTGCCCCTTCCACCCCCTTGGGGCCCCCCGCCCATTTACCCCCTTTCCCCAGCGCACATTCCTACAGAGCGCTGTTTATGGCAGGACAAGCCCCTTACATGTGTATACAACACCTCCTCCCTGCCACCAACCCCTTCAGAGTCAGACAGTTGGGGGCGTACTGTGCAAACAGTGTCTTTTCAGAGCTAGAGAGGCAACACTGGGAGGACCCAGCCCCCCTGGGGCCAAGGTGAAAAGGAAGCACCCCTGCTGCTTCCTGACCTATCCCTGAGCTACTGCACAGCAGAGCAAAGATTCCCCTGAGTCAGGAGAGGCCAGCCACTGGCATGCTGGGCAGGGGTGTATCACTGGGTTGTATCCCTGCCACTTGGGAGGTTGAGGGGAGCCTATTATATGAGTGGGTTGTCCATGCAGCACGGAGTCTGAGTTGGCTCACACCAGGGCGAGGCCTGCATCTGTCTGCAGTGGCCTTGTCTTAGCTGGCTGGGGCTGGGACATACACTAAGGTAGGCACATCTGTCTAGCACCAAGTGCATCTGAGCTGGTTGAACCTGGGATGGTTGCAGGGATGAGACCTGGACCCTGTAATGTGGCACTGAGTATGTCTGAACTGGGTGGACCTGGGACAAGCTGTGCTGAATTCTGGGTTTATATATACAGTGTGAAGTGTGTCTGAAGACTGGGCCCCAACTTTACAGAGCTCAGGGACTCAGTCTCTGGTGGGTGCTAGAATTAGCCTTTGTCCCATCATAGAATTGTAGGGGGTGGACCTCAAGGATCATGTATGACCATGTATGACCCTTCTATGACCAGGTCACATACTGCCTGGACGAAGAAGCCGAGGCTGATGTCATCTTCCTGGACTTTAGGAAGGCCTTTGACACAGTTTCGCACCCTATCCTCATTGGGAAGCTAGCAGACTGTGGAGTGGACACCTACACGGTCAGGTGGGTGGCCAACTGGCTTAAGGACAGCACCCAGAGAGTGGTGGTGGATGGTTTCTTCTTGGCTGGGAGGGAGGTAGGCAGTGGGGTCCCGCAGGGTTCGGTCCTTGGACCGATATTATTCAATATCTTCATCAGCAATTTGGACGCGGGCGTGGCGAGCACCCTCTCCAAGTTCGCTGATGATACCAAATTATGGGGCAAAGTTAGTACACCGAAGGGCAGGGAGCAGATTCAGGCTGACCTGGACAGGTTGGATCAATGGGCAGAGAGAAATAGGATGCAATTTAATAAAGATAAATGTAAGGTACTCCACCTGGGAAGGAGGAACCCCCAGCACACCTATAGGTTGGGGAGTGTCTTTCTCAGCTGCTTGGAGGCAGAGAGGGATCTTGGAGTCATAATTGACTCCAAGATGAACATGAGCTGGCTTTGTAACGAGGCCATCAACAAGGCCAATCGCACCTTGTCGTGCATTAGCAGGTGCATGACTAATAGATCAAAGGAGGTGATGCTCCCCCTCTATGCGGCACTGGTCAGGCCACAGTTGG